GGGGGGGGGGCGGTTGCTGACAATTTATCCAGATAGCAAATTATGGATGTGTGATTTAAGTCCTCCTGTTCTGGGCTCCAGCCATTTTTTTGTCTAAAATAAATACATGGACAAAAAGAATGATATCAAAGCTTTATTTTTAGTTAACCTTTTAAAATCAAGGTCCAAAGAAATTATATTATTATAGCCTGACGTTACTGTTTTTGTGATTTGGTGCTTTATAAAACTGCATTGACTGATCTATTCGAGACACTCTACCTCAGCAACAAACCATTAATTTTACAACTTTGAGTTGATCATCAGTATTTGAGTCACTGATGGGAAGAGCATACGACCATGACAGTTTCCTGGCTGTAGTTTCACTGTGCACTCTGCCAATATTACAGGAAGCCGTCACTGAAACACGCTCCACAGATGGGTGGAGGTGATGAGAACATGCTAGTTGTGGTTAAAGCAGAGTAGTGCTGGATCTGCTTCAATAAGCCTGAGCTTCAGAGTCATTTGACACTTGATATAACAAAAAGATGTAATTGCACATGCCGATGCATGCTGCACAAGATTACAGACACATTTTCATTAAAAGTTTTTCCATTTTAAATCAGCTTACTGGGGGTTTCTGACTTCTCTCTATAAAGATTTGTTAATCAAATTTTCATGACGATTTTATTAATATGACAAGTGCAAGTGCTTTAATAAGTAAATAACTCATGGAGATGAAGGGGAAGACGAGGACAAAATGTGGTTAATGCAAAGCTGTCAAGCGGAAAACATGGAGGCATGCGGTTAGCCGCTCTCCTCCTCTCTTTCTTGCCCTCTCTCTTTTAGCCTCTCTTCCTTCCTCTATCTTAAGTCTCCTTGTATCCCTTTTCTACTTCTCTGTTACATAAGCACAGCGTTGTCCTGCTGCGTGAGTGGGAGGGACAGAGGGCATCGGCTGCAGGCCAGGCTGACTCACAGGGTAGCAGTTGCTCTCAGCTTTTCTTAAGTCGTGGATTAGATCATATAATTCAATCAAACATGGCTGCAGACATATGCTTTTCAGCTTTTTGAGAAAGCTAACTAAGGGCTGCCATTTCTCCTGTTTTTCTAGCACAAGCTTTTCTCGCTCGTCTCAAGCTTTGCACATGAGACGGAACGTTTAATTTCAACGCAGCCAAGTGAAAACATCCTGCTTTGCATGTGAAGGGTTGTCTGTGCTGTCAGCCTCAGTCAGCAGGGTAATCAATTCCTGACATTTTCCAGTGAGTGTTTTGGTCATCGTTTCCAGTGTGGTTACTTATGTTCCGCGCATGTTCTGATGTGCACCTGCTTTTTAGAGATATAATGACAATTATAAAACATGGAACTAATGATTCAGTTTTGTAAGACATGCATGTTAGAGACCATAGTACATAGTGTTTGATAGCGCCATAGCTTATCTGTCATCTGTGAAACCACAACACAAATGGTGAATGCATGATAAAGGTGCCACTTTAAAGAGAAGAGTATTGGCTTGACTGTGTGCGTCAAAGTCTATGCCGTCCATGCAGCCATTGCTAGGTGAACCCAGACTTGAGTGTGTGAAAATTTGAGCGTCTAAAGTTCAAAAGCAAGCAGGTGAGAAAATTTTATACTTGAGCCAACTGTGAAAGGTTTCAAGCTCACACAGAAATGCTGCAAAACCACCAGCTGACTAATACTCAAAGCTAAACAAACAAGTTCCTGCACCACAACTGCTGCATGCACACTGCTTATACTGTTGGAAAGATATGCGCGTGTGTGTGTGTGCACGTGTGTGCAGCAGCAGAGGGCTGAAGACATTTTTAGACACAGGAAGAAAGGTTTCTGTTTTTGCAATGTCTATACTTACAATCTTGACTCCTCCCTCTTACTGCTGCACCAAACTGTATTTGATATAAATTGCATTTAATAAATAAATAAATGCATGCTTTACCTTTAACTTAAGCAGCAACAAAGCATGCTCTATGCTCATTTATCTGTTTTATTCCCTGTGGTTACACATGTAGTGTGTCAGTAAAGACATTTCGATTAAAACTTAAATTAAAAGCAGAGAGATCACGATAGAAGTGGTAAAAGGACAAATGAAACTAAGGATTTAAACAAAAGAGTAAGCTTGAAATTCGCACGTGCACATTTTAATGTGAGTGTGAGGATTAAACAGAGAAAGCATCATGTCCAGTTTGGGAAAACTGCAGATCATTTTTGTATCAGTGAAATGACATTCAAAGGTTTAGCTAATAATAAATTAATTAATCAGAGGCAGAGATTTCCATTAGCAGCATTATAACTCTATCAACTGCATCAAAAATCACAACGTAAAATGAGATCTAATATAATAATAATACTGTATGTTGTTGGAATGTCTGTCTGTTGATTCTTTGGAACATCAAAGGTCTTCACACTTTAAATATTCTAGTTACACAAACATAAAAACAGACAAAACAGGAAATCCTTGCAGAAGCGGCAAATGTTTTTCAGTTTCTGCATGATAGGCGACTCAAACTATCGTCACAACTTGGAGTGAAAAACAAACAGGCTATACAGTAAAAAACCTCAATAAGGTTGGAGCTTGGAAAGAAAAGCGTCTGGACTTCTTTAAGTTGCTTGAAGACATTTCACCTCTCGTCCAAGAAGCTTCTGCATGCAGCAATTGTGAGAGGTGAAATGTCTTCAAGCAACTTAAAGAAGTCCAGACGCTTTTCTTTCCAAGCTCCTTAGACTACGATGACTTGGATGACTGAGAACCTTCATAGTCAATAAGTTTGGGTTTCTGAAATCGAGCATGTCAGCTGTATATTCCGTTTAATTTTACCAGGAATACACTCAATTCAACTTTGCTCATACCAGGTTGACCTACTTCTGCTTTTAAAACTGGCTTTATGCTTTGTGGCAGAGATTCAACAAGGTTTTGGAAACAGTCCTTGGAGATTTGGTCCATATTAACATGACAGCATCACACAGGTGCTTGTTTGGCTACACATTCATGATATGAAACTCCCGTGCTCACTAGATGGAAAATAGCCAGCAAACTGTACACTGTAGCCATAGAGGGATGGACATTGTCAGCAATAATTACAACACCACCAGCAGCAGCCTGAACTGTTGATATAAGGACTTGGGAGTGCCCATTTTTCTGTTGATGTAGAGCAATGGGCACTGAAGGTTATTCAACTGATTTTTGCAGCACTACTTTTAAATGCACAAGCAAACTTCTGCAATTTGATGTTACATAATAAACGAATTTCTGAGATCGCATCACTCAAGTATGCTATTAAAAAAAACGTCTTGTTGCTGTGGTCTGGGTCAACAAGAACCACTAACAATTTCTGCGATGA